CAGCAGGTCTTTCTGCAGTTTCTCCGGCAAGGAGGGGGAGTGTCGGAGCCAGGTGGACCTCTGGATCATTGTCATCCAGGCGATGATGCGAAACAGGCAGACAGAAGAGGAGGCGCACAGGTTGAGGATGACATCAGATGCCTTGCAGAGTGACCTCTTTGTCTCCTCAGGCAGGTTTGTTTCCTCCAGCCTCTTGGAGATGCTGTAGGCCAGCAGAGTGACATTGTTGTTCACTGCGGCCGCCTGAAATGCACACTGGTGGGCTCGGTTGGAGAGTGACATCACTGTCTGGTCATGTTTCCCTGGAGGGACAGGACGCTGGTCCAACCTGGACACTTTTGCTCCGAGTGCTTCTGCCAGGCTTGGCTCCAAGAGGGGTACTGAGGGAAAGTTCCGCTCAGTAAACTCCTCCACTCTGGTGATGGGAGTGAAGGTGGAGATGGGCTCTCTCAGTTTACCAGGTCCGTCTGTAGCCTCGTTCCAGTAGGATGTCACTGCTGGGAAATGAGGCCAGATGGGATCAGGGCAGTGAGCCTGGGTGGAGCCAAACCTTCCCACTAGATCATCCGATCTGGGCGGAGGGAGGAGAGGGACGGAAGGTCCTTCGTGTCAGCCGCCTCCTGGATTATGCCGGGCAGCTCAGAGAGGAGGGCACCGACGGCTGGAAGCAGTGTGGTCACTGATGTGAAAAGGCCCGGGGGGGTTGAGCATCCGCTCGGCCCCCATCGTTCCAACACTACACTCTCCTGGAGGGAATGAGCAGCAGGACTGCTGCTGAAGTCGCCTGTCCCGGAGGAACCATCCGATTCGCTCTGAGACTCGGCATCAAAAAAAGGCGATGGCTTCGTCCAGTGAACAGTCCCCCGCCACGGAGAGGCGCTCCTCGACGTCAGCCTTGAACATGGCTGCTTGCCTCTGCCTCTCCTCAGGAGGGAGGAGGTCACAGAGACGGAAGGAGGAGGCAAGGTCGGCATGGCGGGGACCCAGGCATCCTTTGCAGGTGTCATGCCGGTCAAAACTCAGCATGTAGCCAGTCTTGCAGGACGGGCCCATGTGGATGGTGTTGGTGCTGGACATCGCGTTCTTGGAAGATCAGTGCTGGTTGCTTGCTGAAGAAAAATGGGAGCCTATTACCCATACCATACCATACCATTTTATTTATAGAGCACTTAAAACAGCAACAAGGCCAACCAAAGTGCTGTACAGACAGAACAACAGACAACACACAAAGCCAAATACAAAATGAGGTAAATCAGAATATAGATAGACAGAATATATTCAGAGCAGCTGTCAGAGCTGAACTTAATTCAGTTTCATCTTACGTTTTTTTAAACTTTATTTACGCGTGCATGTACGCACACGTGTGTGTGTGTACATATTTATACTCTTGTATTTATTTGTTTGTTAATTGTTAGGCTTCTTGATCTGGGACCTGAGGCCGTATTTTGTACTGTTAACGTGTAAATGTGAGCTGGTACGACAATAAAAATCCTTGAATCCTCTAATGATCCGGTAAATGTTCCACAGTTCAAGAGCAGCAGGTGAAAAAAAAGCCCGATCTCCTCTGGACTTGAGTTTGAACCTGAGGACATCTAAGAAGAACTGGTTGGATGACCAGAGTGCTCTTACTGGAGTGTAGATGTTAAGAAGAACACATAAATATGACGGGGCCAGACCTTTTAAGACTTTTATTAATGTTTAGTTGTCACATTAAGATTAATTTGGTTATTTTTAAACCAATAAAATGTGTAGCTCAATTCCCTTTCCAATAAAAATCCAGTCATTTTTAAGGAATGTGTTCTTTGCTGCCTTCATATCAAAGTTTAAAGAGTGATGTTTTCGTGCTCAGAGTTCGTGTTGGGACAACTCTCAGCTACTACCACAACCAACTGAAACAGATGGTCACTTGTCCTGAGCCTGGTTCTGCTGGAGGTTTCTTCCTTTTAAAAGAGTTTTTCTTTCCACTGTCTCCACTGTGCTTGCTCAGGATGGGAGACTGCAACTAAGCCAAGATTTAACGTGTCTGCTGGATTCCTTAGATAGAGAACTTCACTAATTGGCTTTTATGTGAATGTTCCTGTAAGGTGCCCTGAGACAACTTGGTTGTGATTTGGAGCTATAGAAATAAACTGAACTGAATTGAAGCTCAGTCTCTCCACACTTAACAGACATTTTTGTGTTTTTTCTAACTTGGCTATGGCAACTTTCTTAAACTGGCATGTGTCCAAAAGGTAATAAGTTTTAGTCACACATTCAATAATAATTTTTTGTGAGTTTAATTAAAATCCTTCCAGTTCACAAGATTTTTTTTAACAGACACACACACACACAAGCCATTAAATTATGACCTGCTGCTATGAAAGGCATATATTCTACACACTGGTGAATCTTTTATTAGCATTAAATCATAATTAGTTGTGGTGTATCAACCCAGACAGGTTAATAAATTGAAAAGAAGAGAAATAAAAGTATGAAGTTGAATGTTTTTGTGGCAAACAGGTTATTTTTGTGTCCCCTGACTTTAACTGCATCACAACCAGTTACATAGTGAGTTTACTGTCAGGGTTTCAGGCAGGGCAGGTAGAACCCAGTGGTGCAAGCAGGACTCGGAGACCAGGCAGAGTAGAATCAAAACACTCTTGAATAATGTAAGTACCTGTAAATATGCTGACATGGCAGCCAAAACTTACAAGACAGACAGATAACTTCAAGCTAATACCAGAAAGAGGACAAGACCATACCCCACAATGAACTGACACCGAGCAGGACTCACAGACAGACTTAAATACAGACATAATTAATGAGGCAAGTGCCAACACCTGTGCAGCATCACAGGTGCAGGGAGACAGGGAGTGATGACAGAGGACAGAGCACCATCCCCACACTTTGTGTTCAATGAAATGGCTAGAAAACGCTGTTTCTATTTAATCTGTTGTTTCTTTGAATTGAGGAAGCTCCTCGGATGAGAAACGAAACGTCTTCAGTTACAAATAAAGTCCAGTTGTTTTGTTTTTAACTTCTTTTATATTTAATCTGTGTTTAGTAGCTCTTTCAATAGTTGTTTGTGGGTTTTACGTGCTAAAGGTTGAAGTTAAATGTGGACCAAGTTTGTATTTTGAAGCATGCCTGTGACTGCAAGCCTTCTGAGTCAAAAGTGACACTTTGCAGCCATCCAACAGTCAAAAGCTGGACATCTTATGGTATTTCTGTCTGCAAGTTTGTGAACTGTAGAGAGGCCTATAACTTCCAGTCTGCTCAAGATAATTTAATGAAACTTCATAGACATATGCACCATCACTAGACGGCCTGTTGCCTTCATGCTTCATCCCCCAGCTCCAAGGCCAAAGTTACAAGTCAATCCCAGATCTTTGCGTGTCCTTGACGTTGCTATAGATTGCTGTACAATAGTTTGTGAACTTCATTTAATGTTCCATAAAAGTTGTTATCTTGTTTTTCTTTTTAAAACGGTTAAATCTGAGTACCATAGACTTTAGAATTTCTCCAAAAACAAGCACAGAAAGCACGTCTTCAAAAACCATTTGGTGATAACAGATTTATATTTTACCAGCAGTGATGTTTGCAGAAAGATATTTTTGACATAGTCGTTGGTGTTTTGGCACATTTTCCACCAGAACAGAACTTATGAGTGTTTTTGACAGTTTGCTGTCAGTTTCCTCACTGGTTCACAAGTTCAGCGGTCCACCCCTCAGCTTTCCACAAAAATCTGTCAGAAGAAAAAAATGTGCTTTTATGACACCAACATTCATTCAACCTTTATTTCTACATGTTAGTCCCATTGAGCCTCAGGCATTCATTTCCAAGAGAGACCTGATTTAAACAAAGAGTGATGACAACAGTGGAGAATCATAAAAATAATACAAATAGAGAAGAACAAATGAAGGAAAATGGCATTTAAAAAAAACTAAACAAAAACAGCTAGAATATAAAGTGATGTAAAAAAACTAAAAACAGGAACATCTGCAGGAACTGAACAGATGTTTAAAGCCACTTGGAGAGATCAAAGGTCGAGAGCTTCAGATGTTTTTACAAGATATTCCAGGAAACAGGAGCGGAGTAGGAGAAGGTCCTTTTGTCTAGTTCAGTCCTCACTAAGGGAACACTGCAGGTAATGAAGTCCTGAGAGCGCACGCTGTAGCTGCACTCACACAGAGACATGTAGGAGGAGATGTATGAAGGCAGCAGACCAAGAAGTGATTTAAAGATGAAAATGTACCAGTGGGAGAGTCTGTGTGGAGTTAATGGTGACCAGTTAACCAGTGAATACTGGGTGCAGTGGTGGGTACAGTAGTTACAGCCAGTTATGAATCTTAACTGGCTGTAACTACCATAACATGGCTGACTTTAGATGATGGAGACTCCAAGGAACTACAAAACAATACGTATATGTAAATTTAAATTGTGAATTGTGCAAACATTATAGTGAAGCATGATGATGAACTTGAAATGAGTTTATTATGAATTTACTGCATCACTTGTTCAGGGCTGAAGATGTTCACATCCTGGACAGAGAGGAACGATGGTTTGAGAGAGGAGTAAAGGAGGCCATCTTTGTGAAAAGAAACCGTCCATCATTAAACAGGGGTGGAGCCTCCAGGTTCAACTGTCCCCCTCTTACAATGCTGTGATTGCTAGTATCACTCAGCCCTCTGTGAACAGTAAACAGCCATCAGGTGCTAATGATCCATTGTTCGGCTGATGGTCCTTCTTGACCATGTGATCAGCTGGTTCTGGTTGTCAGCAGCAAAACTGGTTGATCCACTCTGAGAAGGTGCTATTTAAGAGACTGAGCTGAATACAGC